ACATGATTTCCTGGGTGTCAGGGATGCTTGGGTGTTCTGGACTTCGCGCAAAAGGGAGAGTGTATAAAACTTTCTTGTTTTAATGTGTAGGAGACTTTGCCCATCTGATATCTTTGTCACCCAGTAAAAGATCTGGACCGGCGTGATATGAACGGTAAAACTACGGAGTCATACGTAAGTGCTGACACTCCTAATAATTTGCCAAATCTGAAAAGTATTTAGCCGTATATAATATAATATTTAATAACTTAAACAAAAGTTGCAATACATACCACGGACCTTCATTTAAATGTGTGCTATCGACATTAAATTATTGCATCCTACTTATATTGTTTCTATATGAAATATTTTCTGTAGTTTTCTTTATGATACATTTATCCAATAACACAAAAATTCTTTTGAACGAGGTGCCTATAGCTCCCCTGTAAATCGAAAGGAATACTCCTGGATTGCTCTCTTAGGAGACATAGCTTTTTGCTCGTAAGCGAGTAATAACGGAGTAAAAAACCGACAAATCTCAGTTATAGCTCCGAAATCATTCCTCAGCGAGTATACTTTTACTGCTCACTTCGGAGGTCTCCCGTTTGGCTCCTAAACGGGTAATAAATGAATACAAAGTCGACCAAAATCGTTTATTGCTCCAAAATCATGCCTCTGGGAGTATTCGTTTGTTGCTCGCTTAGGAGATCCCCTATTTGACTCCTAAGCGAGTTATAATGGAGTTCAAAACCGACAAATCTCTTCTATTGCTCCGAAATCAGGACAAATGGAGTACTCTTTTATCCCTCACATTGGGAGATCTCCCTTCAAGTTCTAGTGGNTAGAACGGAAGCTGGGTTAGGAATGATGAGGATAAGCAAATGCTTTCGCCTGCCATCTTTTAAAAGTCTTTAGACCCAATGAAGGCGCTCATCCTTCAAATATTTCAATACCCCCCAGTAGCCTTACCACAAATCCNAGTTTATAAAGAAAACTTCTAGTAAAACACTTTTTCTGGTCACATTGGCCCACTTGCAAATGTACAACCTTAAGAGTATGTAAAGCTGCCTTTACACGGGGGATATCTGTCGACTGGAAAATTGACTGAGAAATCGACCGGCCAAACACTTAAATTTTACGGTTGAATTGTCATTTACATGGGTCGATTTTGGTTGAACGACAAAAATCTACTAGAAAATTGAACCGTGTAAAGGCAGCTTAAGGTATATATCAGTTAGATGCGGTTTATACCGACTTTTCAAAGGCGTTTGACAGGTTTTCACACTCTATCTTAGTCAATAAACTTGCTGCTTTAGGTTTTCACTCCATTTTTTTAAATTGGATTAAATCTTACCTTAGTAATCGTCGCTGTGTTGTCAATGTCGATAATACATTATCGTATCCCTTTATCGCTTCCTCCGGGGTACCCCAAGGAAGCGTTTTGGGCCCCTTATTTTTCATTTTGTTTATAAATGATATAAGTAGTTGCTTTTCCCGTTCTAAATTTCTCCTATATGCGGACGATTTAAAAGTTTACTCCGTAATAAAGAGTCCGCTCGATTCACAGATACTTCAAGCAGAGCTTAATAATCTTAAATCGTGGTGTGACACCAATCGCTTGTCGTTGAACATTAATAAATGCTATCACGTCACCTACAGTAAACGTACCACAGTCTTTCACACTTCCTATCATTTTTCCAATTATTATTTAAAGTCCGTCCCGGAGATTAAGGACTTGGGAGTAATTTTTGACAGAAAATTTACATTCAGCAATCATATTAACTACATTGTCTCAAAGTCCTATGCAATGTTTGCATTTGTGCGACGGAACAGTTCCGAATTCTCTGACCCGTATACAATTAAATTGCTTTTCACTACAATTGTTAGATCTAGGTTAGAGTACGCCTCATTTATCTGGAGGCCATATCATGCATGTTACGTTAACCGCATTGAAAAAGTTCAAAAGGTGTTTATCAGGTTTGCTCTTCGAACCTTGCATTTTAATGAACCTATTCCTTCGTATCTTGCTAGATGTAAGCTCATTAATTTAAAATCGCTGGAAAATAGGAGATCGATTCCGTCACTATCTTTTGTATTTGATATTATTTCAGGACGGGTGGTTTTAATGCCCCACTTAGAAACTTACGTCATTTTGAGTAATTTCATATAGGCCCGGTAAAAACTGGTTATGCATTAAACGCTCCTATCACAAGAGCTCTATGCGATCTTAATCGCATCGAAAATTGTATTCATATTGATTTTACAGCTTGTAAAAACGACTTTTTGAATTTGTTATCTTCTATTTTGGATNCGAAAATTGTATTCATATTGATTTTACAGCTTGTAAAAAGGACTTTTTGAATTTGTTATCTTCTATTTGGGATTAATTTTGTAAATTTACTTTACTTTTCTTTTTAATAGTCTGTAAGAATATTTGATGTATTCATTGGCTAAATTAAACAAATAAACAAATAAAATAAACAAATATTGTCACACACATAAGTATATGCTTATATACATATTTGTGAATTTATAGCCTTTTTTTAAATTATCATTCCCATCTTTTTAGTTTACCTGTCTCATTTTAAGTATAAAATCCCGCAAATGCTGTGAAACGTAGTTACCTTGATCAAATGAAATGGTAGGCAAGAAGACATTTTGGTAGGTTTTTGAATGAGCTCTTGGTTGGAGAGAAAATTTTTCAGTGGAAACCCTGTTTCTTCTTCATTTCAACACTTGAGTGATTGAAAAGGTTCAGAAGGCGCCACAGCTCGGTAACTGTTGCGCAATATGTTGTGTGTACCTTCGACAGTTGAGTTTGACAGCTAGTGTATTAGGCGTCCAGAAACCGCATAACTACGCTCACTAATCACTGATTTGTTAACACTCATGTGATCTGGTACTCTGACCATACGTAAGTGGTCGGCATAGGTACATGTATACCTATATAGGATTTATATGAAAAAAAGTTCTTCGTGTACAACTCTGTACTTTTTTGTGTGTTGGTGAGTGTATGTGCCCACTGGGAAAATAGGTGGTGCTTACGAGGTAAGCCATGTTTTCTTTCAGTTTTTAGTACCAAAATTGTCATCATGGCCAATGTCATCTACTAGTAAAGCACAAAATGAACACCTCCAACGACACATTACGTTGTCAGTTGCAAAGTAACGTGCAACCGAAGTTATCTCCAAGCGCCGAACTACTCCGAGCGACTTCTCTGCATTACACGTAACTTACTTTGTAAAGCGGCTCAGAAGTATGTCTGATACCAAATGTACATTCTAAATTCCTAATTACATAAGGCGGCCATGCCTTTGTAAAAGTAAGGGACGTTCGGCAGGGAAATGGCAATGACTGCCAGGTGAAGAGTAAGTTGCTAATAAGGTATTATTACGTGCTCCTAATTCCCACTGGGTAAGTGCATTTGTGGGTGTATATGGATCTATATGTGTGTTAGACTTTTGTAAATTCAAAATTTGGTAAATGCAAAATACATACATATTTATGCAGAGAAAAACAATACCTTATGATATTTATTCTACACTAAATTGAGATCAAAAATAGGGTAATTGACTCGGTTTTTCCAAGCCGGTTTCCACCGGTTTTTGGATATCTATTGGCGGTTTTTTGAAGTCTTGATATTCGAATATCGAATAAACGGAATTTTTTCATCGAACAAACCGGTTATTTTTTATTTCATTCACATCTTGACCTCCCACTAAAAGTTTCGAGTTTTTGAGGTTTGCAAGGCTTTTTCCAGTTTAAGGGGAACCCCTAAATACATAGTTTTAAAATTATACCTTAGTTTATTTGGGGATGAACCTTATATCATATGTGATTCCAATAAATGAATGTTTGGCGCTAAAACGACAAAAATAGAGAAATCTATACTTTTACTCAACCTCCCAAAAAGCATTTTTCGGCGGGGTTTGCCATTGTCTGCCGAGGGGTGACCGTATTTGAAAAAACTTGCTTTGATGCTGCTGGGAACCATAAATCTCTCGTGATAGTGGCACTCGGATACGGAGACAAGAGCACTATTCAAAGCCGATTTTTATTCGTTTTACTTTTGATCTAAAAAAAAACTTTGTACTTATTTTGTCCTTTTCTAAATAAAAACTATCTCTACTGGTAATAGTTTTATTATAACTTTTGGTCATGACTTCATACGAACTGTATGAAAGTTATGTAAATTAAAACCGGTTTATTCGGATTTTTCTTAATTTCAAAATCGGGAACCGGTTTTTTCAAATTGCAATTTTTGGCCTAACTCGAAAACCGGTTTCGAAAAAAGGCGAATAATCGAACACCCTAATCAATAAGTAAGAGATATTATTAAAATCCAAAATATAAATACATGTTCCTTTTGAAAATGTTGAATTTAGTTTGACATGCAAACCGATAGTTTTCCACATAATTTGCTTGTATTTACCCATAGGTACAAATGTACGTATGCCGATCACTATTATCTATTTTTTGCAAACCCATCCAGATACCATTCCGTCCCATTTATTTGACTCAAACTTCAGAAATGGGTAAAAAATACATCAATAAAAGATAACAGGAACGGGGAAGCTGTTGATTGGTCTCTTGCAATTACAGGTGGGTTTGAAAAAGCGGCATGGGTACATTTGTACCTATCCGATGACATAAGTGTTAAACAACGTTAGCGCTCAACTGCTACGTAGCTATTGGGCACGTTCAGAAGGCGCCACAGCTCAGTAACTGTTGCGATTGCACCTTCTGAACGCGTTGTTGTGTGCTTCTTATCAACTGAAAACGTGCGTTTTAGATGATCGTAATATATTTCTGATCATTTGAGATAACATGTTGGTGTGTACCTTTGAGAGTATAATGTATCGGGCCGTTCAGAATACGCATAACGATCACTTATTTTTTAGCAACGGTTGCGCTCAACTGCTGCGCCTTCTGAACCTACCCATTACGAGAATATTCTATACTTATCTTGAATAATTTTATTCCCAAAAAAATTAATGTTTATGTATTTGTATTTTTTTCAGAATCGTCATCAGATGAGTATTTTTCTATGATTTTCAAGGAATTAGAGAATTCATTACTACTTTTAGATTTTAATACCGTATATAGTGTAGGTATTTATTTTCATTGCCTTTTTAAAACGAACTAAATTATTTCCTTTATATTTAGCTCTGTAAGAATTCAGATATCCTAAACCTGGAGGACGTCTTCAACTTTCTGTTGGGAAATATATTTAACTCTAATGTTGCTGTTCAGCGAACGTGCTTTTATATTTTAAGAGAATTAACAATATTTTTTGTTGCTGATGATTCTAAATATTACGACGCAATTAACAGCAAGCTGCATCTTGATGAGGGAAAACAACATTACTTACAACGTTTTGCAGCTCATCTAGCGTCTCAGGATATTTTCGTTGAAAAGCATATAACGGAGTTCAGGTAGAGATGTATACACAATGCATAATTAATAATATCGTTGTTTAAAGTACAAAACCGCGTAACTGACATTTGTTGCAAAAAATTGGATTTGCTCACCGAAGCCATTCGTGCTGAAATATACTAGCCAGAAATTCAATTGCTTTATAAAAGAGAAAAAATTTTAAATATGAGTGTTTTTACTCTACAAAATAATTTATATATATATATATATATATATGCGGTTTTGTAATATATGTATAATTAAATTGAAATCCTAAAGTTCTATTGATGATAGTTAAAATTAGACTTGAAATATGGCTAGGAATGTAAAACTTGGTTTGCGGGACTCCGGAGTTGTGGAATAGCCGCTACATTAGAAACAAGGGTGCTCAATGCTTTTTGTAACCCAGTACAACGGCCATTTAAGGCCTCAACCAAACTATTCTCCAACGTTAATTTTCATACGTCTATCACTTATAATTTTTTTTTGAGAGGATTAAAGCTTTGTGCCTGAATTTTTTATTATTGTACATGAAATATTCAGTTTCTTAAGCCTCCGCCTATTTTCTTGGTAATAATAAAAAATTGTTTGCTTTGTGCCAGGCAAGAATCAGGTTTCAAAATGGCTGCTTTTTGATGAAAAAGTAGATATAAATTTTGTCGAAGTGGAGCAAAATACTCTTAAGCATTGACTTACGTATGAATGTATACCAATGCCCGCCAAACACTTTCCTGGGAAACGAACTACATTCGGCTTTTCACATGTACACAATCGGCTTCTTACACGTATACAATCCGAACGTCAACAGGGAGAGTAGAAGAGCACCAAATTTTATTTAGTTGCATGCAAACATTAGTCGAAGCAGGTTGATGTCGCATTATTGTTGAATAAAGTAGGTACACTGAGTAAATTTTGTAATTTGTAGTAGGAGTAGAAATACTTCATTTTATTCAGATCCTGAATTAGAAACGCTTTGTGAAATTCAAACAAGCTTTAAAATTAAAATAAATAAAATATTATAGACACCAACAATAAATGTTGTCTTAAAACATATTGTTTAGTTCTAAGTGTTATGCAGACACAACATTTATTGCTGTAGCTTATTTTAATTTTAATTTTAAAATTTGTTTGAATTTCTCAAAGCTTTTCTTTTAATAACACTGTACAGCACTCGGCTGGGTATTGAACCAAACCAACTTTTTTTAAGAGATTGAGTTATAAGTAAAAAAAGTAAGTTCTCCGTTTTTCGAAGTTAGCCTCCGAAATCGAACTTCGAAGGCCCATGTCTCGATTTCGGAGGCTAACTTCGAAAAACGGAGAAATTACTTTTTTACTTATGATTCAATCTCTTAAAAAAAATTGGTTTGGTGCAATACCTAGAAAAAAAGTTGATTTTGCCGTACAGTGTAATCAGAGTGCTCGAAGAACGTTAACTTTTTTGCTTAAAAATCCTCATTTAAACTATCCCAAAAAAATTAAATACATAACAGATTTTACCAACTTTTTACTTACTTAAATCCGTTAACTTTCTTTCTATGTTTTGTAGCTCTAAAAAATATCGCCCAATGAAAAAATGGTAAAAAACATACAGAAGTTGTTATGATAAGTAATACAACACAGAATTATTGAACCGTGCTTTACCACAAACACATTCTCATTTTTAGCTAGCACTGATGTATAACCACTACAGTAAGAACATTCTTTGGTTGCTGTTCCACTGTTTTACCAAAAATTGTAAATTTCAACTCCTAAGTCCCGCAAACCGAGTTTTACATTCCCTGAAGATCGTAAGATTTGTATAATTTAACTATGTATATACTTAAATATAAACAAAAAGCTAACGCTACGAGCTTTTTACATTTTACACTTTCTGTTTACCCAGACGCATTCAGGGGTATTTTATGTAATAAAACCGGCGAAAAGACATTATTACAAACTTTGACATAATTATCTTTACATTAAGGCTGTTCTAGTTTATATGGGAAAATTCAAAAATGCGTTTTTTGTTGAGCGCCGACCAGATATTTTTTCCTTTTTATTAGAAAGACTTATAGCAAGTTTTAAAGAATTTTAAGTCAATCGATTTGACGTTTGATAGAAGCGGAAATTGCTTAAAGTCGTCAAAGCCCATGTCTCTTTTTAACTCTATTAAAAAACACAAAATTTTTTTTTATAAATTTCGAATTTTATTGCTGTGTCAGCAAAAATTACTTAAGCTCGGCGATTTTTTTTTTGGTCAAGAAGTGAAAGTGATTAGAGTGAAATAATTAATGTGAACAAGATGGGAAATAAATACAAAAAAAAAAGTTGTATTGATTAATAAGACAGTGTTACAGCTTACAATCAAATCATGGAATGGGACGATGATACTCAGTTTGATGACGGCAACAGGAAAACTATACAAGAGCATTATGCATGTACCATGTTTTGAGCAAGCCAAAAGCCCAGATTTTTCAAAACCACCTACAAAACGTGGTCGAAGAAATTTTACAATGCAAAGGTATTGGACGTGGAGAACAGAACGAGAAGAAGGATGACATTAGAAGGGTTGCGCATACAAAAAAAAAAATAACTGAAGCAATGAACTTCAAAGAAGACGTAGATAATATAAACTGTGCATATGCGACTGCAATTACACACAATGTCTGAGGTTTGACGATGAAGGATGTGCAGTGTTCTTTAACGTGTCTTAATGTTTTTAAATATGTTTAATTTATGTTGTGATAATTTTATTGCTTAATATTAAAGTAAGTGTAATTAGTGTTAAATTATTTTGTATTGTCTTATTTGCTCCTTGTAATAATTATTCGTTCTTATTATGTTTTTCGTATTTATAAATATATAGACTCCCTGAAGAAGACGCGAATATGCGTCGAAACGCGTTTTATTCAATATAACCGGCCAAAAAGCTCCAAACCCAATAGCATTGAATTTTTAACCTTGGCCCACGGAAAATAATTCTAAATTGATCGGAACAACAAATACGAAAAACACAAAGCAGCACAATGAAACACTTTTTTCAACATATTAAATATAAGTACGACATGGACATCTGTTACCCCATCAAACAATACGGCAAAAACCACAAAATACTTGCGAAACAACAACAACGGCTTAAATTTCTACTGAAATGTAAAGCAAAATTATACAGGGTTTCAAATTCGACAAAACTAGGAAGGAAATGCTAATGATTGAAAAACAGTTCTTAACTAAAATTCTCAGTTTGGAGATAAAAGAGGCTAATATACAAATAAAAATCGGTAATGACACCATAAGACAAATTAAGAAAAAATTACGCGAAATTCTGGAAGATAATGAATCAATTCAGTAGTCGAAATCAGAGTTCGTAGAGCGCTCAAAATTCGCTCTTGCTCTTTCGAGTTATCACTCAAAAAAACAAAAGCCATGAAAAATATTTTTAGAGTAAATCGTTGAAAGCAACGCTCTTGCATACACTGCTCAAACACTTGTATTACTCATTCGTTCGTATACAAAGAGTGCTTATCGTTGTGAGAACATCTGCACTGTTTGCATAGCCCGCGTTTTGCTACTCATGCGCTCTATATTTGAGCTGAATAGTATTTGAATTTATCAATGATAAGTATTTTGATGTGATATTCTTTCGTTATTTAAATTTGTCAATGATAAATATATCGATGTGAAACCTGAACACTTAGCCAAACGAAACACAAAGTCTACCCAAATTTTTTCCTTTATTGAATAAAAATAACACATTTGCAGAAAGTTTTTCATGGTAATTTTTTTGGTAAATTTTTTATAAACATTGAGCTCATTCTACAACAAAAACATGTTAATCGAAAATTTCGAACTTTGAGCAAAATTAAAGAAAATTCAAAAATTGTTCATCAAAATTTCAAACTTAGCTTAAAAAACAACACATTTGCGGAAATATTCTACAAAAAAAGTAAGGGTAATCACAATCCGGTGCATATGGTCTTGCATGTGCATATTTCGGTGCATTTGAAAATTTTATGCTTGCTACTATGGCAACCGTTCGCATTTTATTGTTGTGAATTTGCAAATGCATCGAAATATGCACACCCAAGACCATAAGAACCGTATTCTTATTAATATTAATTTAAATTAAAATTTCAATGTTTGGACAAAATTAAAGAAAATTCAGCAATTTTTCAGTAAACAAACTTAACTTGAAAATGGCACATTTGCAGGAATACAGTAACCAGCAAAAGTATTTTGGCATTGATTTTTATTACGATTTTCAAAAGGTTTTTCAAAGTATATTTTTTCGTTAATTTTCTATAAAGCTAGGGCTCATTATACAACAAAAACCATGTAAATCAAAATTGTAACCCTTGGAAAAACTTACGGAAAATTCAGCAAATTCGCATCACGATTTCAAACTTTTCAATCATAATTTTTAAACAGAATCCGAACACGTAGTTTTATAGCCCCCTCGATTTTAATATAAAAAAGTAAACGTTTTAAGTGGCTAAAATTCGCGTTGACTTTCCATACTTTTTTTGCTCACGGTATATTTAAAAAATGGAAGAAAATGCTCAACACCGTCAGCAAAAAAATTATGGAAAGTCAACGTGTTCGGATTCGGTTTACAAATTATGATTGAAAAGTTTGAAATCTTGATGCGAATTCGCTGAATTTTTCGTAAGTTTTTCCACGGGTTACAATTTTGATTTAAATGTTTTTTGTTGTTTAATGAGCCCTATATTTATAAAAAATTTACGAAGAAAATTTAACATGAAAAACCTTCTGAATATATCGTAATAAAAATCAATGTCACAATACTTTTGACAGTGACTGTATGTACTTGTAGATAAAAAATTCAATGAATTCATTAGTTAAAACTGAACGTCGCTCGCTACGTCTAGATTTATATTTTTAAATAAATTTTCATTTAATTTGATAAAAAGTAAATTGTTAAGATTTTCAGAGCTCAGCCTGGAACGATGTTTTGTTAATATTAAAGATAGAGCACTAAATGCTCGCTCTACGGAAGTTTGGCTGCTTGGCACAGATAAAATTATTTGTGACAGCTTACTTAGAGTTGGTTCAGGAATTTGCAAATTTTTCCAATAGTTGATTATGTCAGTGTTGAAAGGCATTTTACTTTGATGAGCCAAACCTTCAAGTTTTTGGCGAAGCGATTGTATATTTTGTGACACTTGAACACTTTGTTGCGTTATTGAATTGGCTTTTCTTTCAAGCAAATCATACTTATCGTCGAAAACTTGGACCTGCTCAGCATGATCGATTTCCGAATCACTACCGATTTCAGTGCATCCCTCCAAACTACTCAAAATTGCGCTTGTGTTAATTATATGTGTCTGCAAATATAAACAAATTTAAACAATTTAAAACAAATATTTAACAGGCTGGTCACAAAACATGTTTCATTATAAAGGGCGTAAAATGTATATCAAATTAACTTGAAGGTTAGTTTTAAGTTGGAAAAAGGGACTGATGAGGGGTACTTTCAGCTTACCACTGCTTGCTTTTTTTGTATTTCATTCAAAAACGGTGAGTCCATATAATTGAATCTGCGATCCATATACAAAGCAGCATTAAATGCATTATTTTCCAATAATTTAGTTTTTCTTGATTGCATAGATTGCAGTAAATGTATCGCAAACTCGTTGCTCTGGATATTTTCCAGTTGTGCCTCGCAAAGTAGCCAGTCTCGGTAAAAGTCACCGATAGTATAACTATCTGTTTGTAAACTTTTGGTACATTCAGAAACTGGCTTGAAAGCGTACACAAAGTTTTGAATAAAGTCCCAATTTACTTCACAACAAATCGCATGGTCATTTACAAACGTTCTCAGATCTAACAGAGAAGTAAGCATGTCGAATGTGGAATTCCAGCGAGTTGCATTATCTAGTGTAGGCATCCGAATGTCTTCATCAACATAGTTATTACGAATAATTTTTCGTAGTGAACGTGTTGCTTCTCTGCATACCGCCAACTCATTTTTATGGGTTTTGTATACATCATGTGCGCATAATTGTAGCGTGTGTACGGCGCATCTCACTACTGACATGACCGAGCTAAGTCTGTTATGAATTTCTTCATATTCGTCGCACTCTACATTGTCCTGCTCTTGCAGCAACTCCGAAGTTTTGATGACATTTGACCCATTATCAGTAGTTGAGGAATAGATCTGTGTTGCTTTTATGTCAAACTTATTTAAGCAATTTAGAATTTCTTCCTTTAGAAAGGACGCCGTATGTCGCTTTTTCAACTCTACCATGCCTAGAGTGAAAATTTCTATTTTAAAATTTTGTATAATCTGTATATTCACTCCTAAAACACTTTTATCGAGCCTTGATGCAATGTCTAATTTTATGCACACCATTTTGTTTTCCAATAATTCTTTTAAATGGTTTCTCATGAGTCCGGCACACAAATCGAGCTTACTTACAATGTTTCTTGAATTAACTTTTATGTTAAAAGCACTTTCATATGGTTTTATAAGTTTTTGAAAATATTCTTCGTCATCGAAAAGCCGAAATGGTATAGCTTTCACAGTAACTAGCCCCACACAGCACTTTATGAATTCGTGCTGTTTCAGTTCAATTTTTATTTTGTTTGCACTTTTTGCGGACGGATTGTTTCCAAAGTTTCGTTTATGCACTGTGCTATAATGCCTTTTAATATTGTGAAGCACTTGACCCTTGAACTTTTTTGAACATTCAAGGCACGTCGATTCATTTGTCTCTTCATTATATGACACATATTTGCTTTTATCAATGTTAGAAAATCTTCCCATTTTGAACCCTTTTTATGCTACACTAAACGCGCGAAACTTCTACAAATGAAAATTTGCCAAAAAAATGCTTCAATAAAAACAAACGGTAAACGAAAATCAAAACAATCTCCAAACTCCGAAAATACTCCAATAGAAACGAGTGATAAAAAAAATTATGCTATCAAAATAAAACTCATTGAGCATGTATAATTATAACTACCATTGAAAAGAGTTAACTATTTTCAAATAATCTGAGCGAAGGAGAATAATCGAGTCGAAACTAAAAGCATCTGATGCTTTTAAAGAGCGCATGTTGTGAGAGTAACGAAGGAGAAATACAAATAAACGATTTGTTCGCTCATTCGGAGATTGACGAATGCTCGCTCGTTTGTTTTTCAGCAGCAATGAAATAAACAAAACTAAACGCTTTGAGTTGAGTTGTATTGAGGCGAGTGAGAGATATTTCTCTCGTCAATGAAAAGTATTTACGAACTCGGTTCGGAGGATGCATCAGACTAGGCCGAGCATACTTTGAAGTGCCATCTAATCAAAACTTAAGAAAGTTCAATTACATGGCAGTTGAGAAGTGCATGTGCAAAAATTTCATAAATTGGAAATGTTTTCACATGCAGCAGTACATAGCATGTATTTAGGCGCCTGGTGTTAGCAGACGCGCCTAAACACTGGAAACTTCGAACCAGTCGAATTTCTTAAAATAACGAAAGGGCAAATACAAATGGAAATGTGCCGTTTAAATTATAAGAATAGCAATGTGTGATAAACTATGAGAAAGAACGTGAAAGCGCAAAGAAGACAACAATACGTAACACGGTCAAAAGCGGGAAAAGATAACAAAAATAAAAACGAAAGTGAAGATAACGCTGTGATCGAAGTAGAAAGTGACAATAATAACAAGTGCGAAAACATGGAGGCTAGAATCGAAGAAAATAGTAAAAGATTACACGACATAATTCAATTGCTTACTCTAAAAATTCAAGCTGACGAAATCCGTCAAAATGAGCGCAAAATCGCCGCAAAAAATTTCGCGAAAGTTGTGCCTAATTTTGATGGGCAAAGTGTGCCGGTGGAACGTTGGCTGACTAACTTTGAGCAAAACGCGACCGCGTATAACCTAACTGAGCAACAAAAATATGTGCAAGCTCGCGGAAAAATGACACAGACGGCACAACTACATCTCGAATCGGTGTTTGTAAGTACATATGAAGAGCTAAAGAATGAGCTATTAAAAGAATTTAAACGTACGTTTGCAAGTGCCGAAATACATAAGAAGTTAAGAGAAAGAAGAAAAAAAAGTAAACATGAAAAAATAGCAGCGTTAGGTGAAGTTGTGAGTGAATCTGTCATACGTTACGTTGTTGACGGATTGAATGTCAAAAGCGAATGCAAATACAGTATGTACGGCTGCAAATCGTACCATGAGCTTTACGAAAAATATGATGTACTTGAGTATATGAACGATAACGAAAAGAGATATAAACAATACGGTCCTGTAAAAAGAAGTACACAGAGTGAAAAAATAACTCGTTGTTTTAGTTGTGGGTCCTCAGACCATTTGAAAAAGGACTGTAAAACTGATACTAAATGTTTCAAATATAATGGAGCTGGACATATCTCTAAAAACTGCCCGCAGCTTTCAATAAATATTAAATATTGATTAAGGGCAATAAAAGGCGTAAGACTATTACGCTCAATAAAAAGGAAATTTAATGTCTAGTCGATACTGGTTCGGATGTCACCTTAATAAAAAACTGTGTGTACAAGACGATAAAACACGTTGATCTACAGAAATGTTATACGATACTAAGTGGGCTTGGTAACAATAAAACTGTGCCGATCGGTGCCTTCGTTGGTGAGGTGCGGGTTAACGGGGTAGAAACTCATCACAAATCGTGATGTGACGTGCCTGACAATGCAATTCTGTATGACGCTTTACTGGGGTTTGATTTTGCATCTAATTTCTGCTTAACGCTCGATGAGAGTGGCTTCAAATTCACGAAAACGATAGGGCAAGAGGGTTTGATACATCGAGTGAACTAATGGTCTACAATGTCTCGGAAAATAAAGTAGAAATCAACGCACCGCAGCAGTTCCAGTCGCTAATACGATCGATAATTAATGATTACAAACCAACGTAAAGCAATGTTGAGTGTTCTGTGTTCTTGAAAATAGTTCCAGATGGTCAGATTACTCCGTTTCGTCAGCAGCCAAGTCGTCATCCACCTGTTGAATGTGATGCCATAAAAGAACAAGTTGACGAATGGCTGGAAAATGGTGTGGTACGCAAATCAACATCTAACTTCGCTAGTAGAGTGGTAGACAGCACGTACAGACTGTGCGTTGATTTTCGGCAGTTAAACAGCAGCAACAGTGCTAAAAGACTGCTTCCCAGTACCCCTCATTGAAGACGTGCTCGAAAAGCTTCAAGCGGCAAAAGGGTTCATTGTTATGGACCTGAAAAACAGCTTTTTCCATGTACCCATTGACGAGCCAAGTAGCAATTTTACGGCATTTATCACAAAGCAGGGCCTTTACGAGTTCAACAAAGCCCCGTTTGGGTTTTGCAATTCCCCTGCTGCGTTTGTAAGATTTATCACTTACGTTTTCCAAAATCTCGTTGACCAAGATGTGATGCAGATTTATGTGGATGACATTATCATCTACGCACAAACGTCTGAAGAATGTATCACCAAGCTGAAGCAAGTACTGTCAGTGGCGTCCAAGTACAACCTAAACATCAAACGGAAGAAGTGGCATTTTTAGGAGAGCAAGATCGACTTTCTCGGTCATACAATAGAGGGTGGCAAAATTTGGCCAGGCCAAGATTAACCGGATTTTTCCGAAAATTTATAAAAGGGTATGCACAGATAGCACGGCCACTGACAAACTTGTAAAAAAAGGATGTGCCTTTTAAAATCGGAGTTGGCGAACTGAAAGCAATCAGTCAGTTGAAGAATGCATTATGTGCTGAACCAGTTTTAAGAATTTATTGTAGAAATGCTCCTACGGAATTACATACTGATGCCTCGAAAGGCGGTTTCGGTGCGACGCTGTTGCAGAAGTTCGATGGATGCTTGCATCCCATACTTTACTGGAGCAAGAAAACGACGCCTAGTGATGCTAACCGCCACAGCCATGTTATAGAGGTCAAAGCAGCCTACCTTGCCATCGAGAAATTCCGAAGTTACCTCCTGGGTGTTAACTTTACGCTCGTCACCGATTGTTCCGCGTTTACACACCATTAAAAAGAAGGACGTACCACGAGAGGTTGCCAGATGGAGTTTGTACCTACAAGATTTCAACTTTCGAGTTGAACACCGTGTTGCAAATAAGTTGAAACACGTAGATTGCTTGAGTCGCTTTCCAAACGTGCTGGCCATCGGTTCGCAGATTTCAGCCCGCTTAAAAAGTGCTCAGCGAAAAGACAGTTTCACCAACGCTATTTTAGAAGTTCTTAAAAGTCGTCCTTATGATGGGTTTAACGTTAAGGGAGATATTTTGTATAAAAGCGTGAATGGTTCATCTTATATATATATATATATATATATAATATCCCCTATAACGAAAGTTTCTTGAATTAAATCGTTCATAACTAGTTATAAACCACGTCATCAGCAAAGGCTTGGCCTACATGGCTGTCCTACTTTCTCCTCCTCCCTGTTACCTATGTGATGATATTATTCTTATCAATATCCATTATGACGAAGACTTTGTGTCACTGGCTCTTAGACTAATAGGAAAGTAAAAATAAAACATATCGAGCCCTAACCGCCAAAAGGGCGTAAGCGACAAAAAGCAAATTTTTCAGTAGGTGTTTTTTTTTTATTAACACGGAAAGTTACGTTTCTTGTTAGATATATAATACTGGTGGTTTTGTTTGCCCATCTTTAATGAAACAGGGGATTTTGTCGCTTACGCCCTTTTTGCTGTCACAAAAAAGGCTACAGCACGCAATTGCGGCGGTTAAGCCAAAAGATATATTAAAAAACCCTTTTTTGGCATTAACAAAAACCATTTGCCTTTAACTCATTTCTTTTATTCTTGTTATTAAGAAAACAACTCTTCAACACAAATACATATGTTATTGATTAAAATTCTAGTTCTCTATAAAAACTAATACTGATTTCTTTTTTTATTTTTAATATTTTTATTGAGCTTCGTACCACGATTGATTATTAGGAAAAATTGAAAAAGCAACAAAGTCTAAGCGGTAGAAGTTATAGCACTATTTCGGAGATCACCACATCTCCTCATCAGACTTCTTTTTTCTAGACTTCAGCAGGGATCGAACCTGCGAATTCGATGTTCAAAGTCAGAAGCGTTAACCACTGAGCTATGTACATCCCGTAAACTCTTGTTGCTAATTCATTTTCCTTATTCAACCAACTACTATCAAGTGCAGCTGATTTGCCGCTATTTAAACTCGACAGCGTGGTTGTTGTTGTCAATTCTATACATCCATTTGCTTATTTCCTTTTTTGTTTAGTTTCAGGCAGGCTCTTCCTAAACTCATGGTGGAATTATACAAGGTGTTGTACGTAGTGACAGCTCATGTCGACGGCTCCCTTACAAAAGGTTGTAATATGGAAGCACGAGAGAAACGGGAAGAAAAAAAGCCCGCTTTGCGAAGTAGTACGAAATTTGGTACTATTTTTCATATCAAATTTTGCATATAAATAGTTACAAACACTGTAATTATTACAAAAATGTAGGTTTATTACATTTTCTTACTTTTACTGTGATACATATTTGAATTATCTAATTCCCTAAATTAAAGTGGAATCTGATTTTTTTAACCAGTGACCACCCTGGGAGGTTGCTAAAAATAAAGCGTTTTCAAAACCATTTCCGATGCCCATATTGCAGCAATGCATTTAATCTTCCAACCTAGATACGAACACGTAAGTATGCGTCCTCCTACAATCGGACCACGGCAACATGGAGTCTATCGATGTCAAACGTTACGTTTCTTGTTT